ACATCATTATAAAAACAATATATTCAATTGTATAGATACAGGTGTTTTGATATTCAATATGTTATTTATAATTCGAAAATGTCCCGCTGCTAGTTTGAGTCATGGAGGCAGTTATTGTCGAAAATTAGTATCACATCGAACACCGCTATTGTTTAATGATGTTTATAAACTACCCACTGTAGCAATGCTTCGATTTGATAACATATTTCGTATACTACTAGTAACTTTATTGCTATCTTGAACTTCAGTACTGTGTACGTTCTTGTTGAATCAATTAACCACTCCTTCCTCTTTTATGTCATCCTCTTAACCTGATATGACAACGCGAGTTTCTCCTTTATCTGTTATGCATTTGATATTCTTGGGCTTCCCATCTCTTCCCTTCTATCTTTCTTCTATTATGGTGGAAGGTAGTCGTATAGCGTTCAGTCTCAGCTTCCCCTTCAGCATCTATCATCTCTATTGCAACATTGTATATTTTTTAGTTATGACTTAATGTTTACATTTATTGATAGTCGATTTTTTTTGGCACACGGTCAAACTTCTGAAAGGAATGTAGATGGCCTGCATAAAATCACGCCTGGCCTTGATCTTGGATTAACAGATACATATGTTTCGCTCGGTTATTTTGTTTTAGAATAACTATTATATGATTGTACTTTAAGTGTGATTTGAAATCTTAAATATAATATATTTGTACTAGCAGTTTAAGATTGTTGTATATGTAAACAAGTTTCGTTATGATTCCTGGTTGTACTTGAAACCTAATTTTAAATTCTATAAGCATAATAAAAACGCGGCCTGAATACTTTCGGCTACTTTACATCAGCACATTCACGATGAAAAGTTTTAATAAACATTCACTACTGTGTCCTTGAAAGCTATTTTGTTAAGGTGTGTTTCTTCCACAGTCGATAGTTTTCGTGTTAGACTTTTTGTCTTGTAGGATAACTCCAGTTTTCATATAAAGAGTTCAGAAAAGGAATATATTTTTTCAATCTTGTCTAATATGTCTCATAATCTAGCGAAAAGTAGGTTTAAACGTCTTGCGTTGTCTGATCACCTCATTAAGGTAATGACAGGTTCTACTTTTCATACCTTCAACCTTATTGTAACAGCATAAGGTATATTTCAAATTGCGTATTGTACTGCACATTACTGATACAGATTCTGCTAGTTTTTGTACGTATTGTAAGTGTGTCGTTGAGCATCCGTGACTCGTTTTGTTCTATCATGATCAATTATACTCAGTTATGAGAGAAACTGGTTCTTCACTAGACGATGCTTGAATGTAATTTAACCGTGATCCTATTTTTTAATATGTGTTATAATAATGTTTTTAAGTAGGGCAGGTTGATTAAATTTGCGTATGTTTTTGCTGTTTAATGAATAATGCATTTCTTTAATTGGTTAAAATGGAAATTTTCGTATCAATGTTTCACTTAGGATTTTAAGAACTTTTTTTTTTTTTTTTCCGAAGGGGAATGCTTTCTGCATACTCCATGCCTCTGGG